AAAAATAATATTAATAAAAAATACTGCTTGAATCTAGCGTCACGTGTCTTCAGAAATGTTGTAAAGGCCTGTGATGCCATCCCATCAGCCGTTTCTGACCTCAGTTAAACTCATGTGCCATGTCAGCCACCCAGCCACGCAGGATTTTCTCTCTTTCTCTGGAGCCGCTGCCACCCTCCTGTCGCCTCCACTGATCCATGCCAGCTTCAAGCTTTTGTTGTTCTGCCTGCCTCCCTTGGTACTGGGGGCAAGATTTACAGTGGAAAAATATAGCATTTTTTTCCCCCCATGTTGAGCTGGTGAGTCTGGAATGTGTGTTTGGGCAAGATTTTGCGAGGAGTGTGAAAAAACAACAGAGCTGTAAACACCGAGGGTAGACCCAGACTGGCTTCTTTGTTCCAGATGTGGAGCAGGCCTGGAGATGTACCTCTATACACTCCCACTGCCTGTCCATCAGCTGGGCTCTCACTGTATCCATGCGGACAGGTTAGTGCCTGCTGACACAGTGGCATTTTCATGGAGAGATAAGTGCGTGCACTGGTCATGGTGTGCGCCCACAGTCAGAATAATACCAACTGGGTATTTGGAGCCGCCACTAAACCAGAGAAGAAGGCTGGAAGAAAGAAAAAAAAATCAGCAATGCATAATTTACCCATATGCCAAATGCAAATGAAGCCATTTAAATCAGATGCCCCGTGTGCCATCAAGCTCAGGCTGCACTAGAATGGTTCATCCTGCATATTGCGGCTAACGGTTTCCTGAAGGATTTTTATTTATATCTTTTTCTTTTTTCTTTTCTTTCTTTTTTGTACAGAGTTGCCTAGACATCTGTATTTAACCAGTCAGTTTTAAGTTTAAGTTTAACCGTGAGCGGCAGTGGGCGATGCTGCTGTCATCTGCTGTCTGGCAACAATTATGCCAATGATGAATTTAGTGCTTAAGATTGGAAAACCAGGCACATTCCGGCATTTCCCACGCAACAATATTCACTTCGAGTCACTTTAGCTTTTAGATTTAATTGTACGTGTGTCTTTTTCCTCTGAGCTCTTCAGGCTATCCCATTTTCTCTATGTCCTGTGTCCCCTTTTCTCGTTTCGTCTTTATTTTGGTGCCGAATTTTGACAGATAGCTCAATAAATGGGTCGGATTAAAATCTAAAAAACAATTTAAATTTTGTAATTGCACAAAAATGCGTCATAAGAACTATAACTGCTCTAATAATGTATATTTGGACCTTGGGCTATTTTAGTCTGAATATTTCGCAAAGAATTCATCAAGAAAAAGATCGTTTCTCCCTGCATTTTAATTATTTGAAGATGCTGAATAGTCATATTAGCATTTTTCTTTTTCCATTTTATTGATTGCTAGCACACTGGCATCTTTAATTATTTATTTATTTATTGGCTCCAAAACTTTTTTTAGTAAAAAAAAAAAAGTGAAAACAGAATAGAATTAATTTAATTAAATTGCAAATAATAATAGCTAGACTGCAGACACGAACTTTTTCACAAAACTACCTTATTAAACAAAACTTATTGAAAATTACATATTTACGAACGAAAACATGTTGAATTTAAGGAGGAAAGAAATATTTGTATTTGAATTTAAAACAAAAAAACCTTAGTTTTATTATTCGAAAATGAGGAGATTATTAAAAAAAGTATCATGAACTTGAAGTGGTGAGTGGTGAGCTGTTCTGTTGTGAAATTATAAATAACATTTAAATTAATGAGCGGTGGGGGAAACATGAAACCGCAGTCCGTCTTCTCTGTGGTTCGACTGGCAAAAACAAATTTCATGAGGAAATTGCGTGATGAAAAAAATAATCCAATGAGCAGGTGTTTTATTTTTAGTCAGAGGAACCAGTGAGTACACATTAGATCTGTGTGTACCCGGCACTGGAATGATGCTGATCATGTGACACAGCTGAACTCTATGGGCCCTCACAGGCTGCCAGCAAAGGCACGGCACTTAAGGAATGAGGATCCGGCCGGTGCAGATATGAGTGTTTCTGTGTGATGACTTCGCCTGGAGGTGAGATTAAGGCTGTTCATCCTCAGCTCCACTCTGGAACCTTCTCTCTTCTCTACTTCTTTCGTTATTTTCTTTTTTCCTGGGGCAAAGAACAGTCAGAAAAATGTCAGGCCTATTGTCTGCACAGATGAAACACAGCCGCCTCGTTCGGACACATTCTTATTTTTTATTTTTTTTATTTTTTACCGGCAAACTAGGAAGCTTTCTTCAATCTTAACACCTAAAATACGAAAGCATGCACATATGCGACATAGATATTCCTCAATCTCACAAAATAATTTAAGAAAATCCTGGGATGTTGTTTCTGATCCATTCCTAGTTGGATAATTGTGTCAAAGCACGCCTCGGCTTCAGAGCCATCAGGCTGTGCCGCTTAAATTGGACATGTGGGTCTTTATTCGGGTCTATTATGTGCTGAGTCGAGCCTGTGATAATAAATCCTTGCATCCACTTCTCGGGGTGTGCGGGGGTCATGGACTGTCATTCTGTATCTGGGCCTCGGCTCAGCTCCAGCAGCACAGGGTTACTTGTAGAACAAGACGTGCCACAGTGGGGAAGATCACAGTGGCGGCAGTTGCCTGGGAGTGTGTGTTTTTTCTGGTGTGTACACAAAGAACACTGTCACTCTGCATTAGAGATGGACAAACTCGATCGGTTTGCGTGCTTGTGTGTGTTTAAGAGAGAGAGAGAGAGAGAGAGAGAGAGAGAGAGAGAGAGAGAGAACACCTATGTTAAACACACCTCTGCAGATTTGACGCTCATGCGCACTGTGCAGCACAGTAAGACGCCAGTAAGTCTGGGCTGCATTCAGGAGTGTGACTATTTCTAACATCATCCTTGTGCGTGTATTAATAGAGCAACGTCCATCCCTGCCCTATGACTGCAGGGCCCGCCTTTGTTCTTTACCGGTAATACAGGCATAATTACAAACCTTAAAGAGCCTCCTCACCTTGCTTCCTCCCTTCCCTTAGCTCTGACACACATCCAGGAAGTGCCTAAGACCAGAGCTGTGTCTGTATACAGGCCATGCCTTCAAAGAATTAAACTGAGGCCGTGCGTTGTGCGGTGCGCAATGGTGTTTTAAGCCGTGAAAGCAACACCTGTTCCAAAAGTCACATCAGTTCCCTCCAACTCCAATCTCCACGCTGCAGTAACACAATAATGTTGCAGTAAAACGCCAATGGACGTAACACCTCTAATTTCCCAGAGACCATTTCCATTTACAACTCTTATGTGTGAAGCCAGTGTCGCCCACAATATGAAACTGGCCTCACTGCCGATTTTTTTCTTCTTCTTTTATTGTGACTGAAATTTGACTGTGATAATAATTTGTGGCTTTGTTCTGGCTGGCTGCATGGCTGAGGCCTGTGGGGAGATTTGGGAAGCAGTCCAGCCCCCAGCAGGCCCTTTAATGCCGCTGGATTCCCAGTAGTTTCAGGCAGGGTAGGGACATGACCAAAATGACGGGGTTGGACAGCAGCGCAGCACCACACTCAACCCACCAAACACTCTGTTTATAATTTCGCTGCAGCTTATATGTGATTTATCTGAGATCTGTATCAAACTGTGTTGTAAAACGTGGTTTTATTGAAAGCAAAAGCCTCGGTAGCCGCAGTAGCTTTCTCGTAGAAGTCGATTGAGACTGCAGCTCCAGACTGAAACAGGCATGCCTGAAAATATAGAAACAGTTATTACTACTTTGGGCCTGTTGCCACAGTTGTCTCTCCATCTGCATCCACGAGCACCTTCTAGATTTTGCTGACCACGCAGTTGCAATTCTGCCCTCTTTTGGCAAGTTTCCCTTGTTTTATAAACCTTATCGTGTGGTGACAATATGAGTGACGTGTGGGCTGACCTTTTTTTTCCCTTAGTTTCACAGAACAAAATAAATAAATACCGGACTTTGTTATTCTTTGTCTTCTATTTCTCCCTCTGGTTTCCAGGGTATGGAAATATGTCTGGAAATATTTGTCACATTCACACATCTGCAGTAGCCAGAACCTTCTAAGACTAATAAATGACACATACTTTAAAAAAAAATGTGTGTCACTGAATCTCTGTGTATTATTGCCCGCATTTCCCTGCGTTTAAATTGACTGTAGAAGCATTACACAAGCTAAAATAATGAAAATATGATATTTTAATGAGCATTAAATGAACAAAAACATTTCCTGTTACACTTTAATTAATTAATAAAGCATGCGTTGTAAGCAGTTGTATATGTAGTTGCATTTATTAAGATTTTTTAAGTGTTTGTTGCAATATCAAAGAAGTGAATTTCCAAATACTGGAAAATGTCTCTCGACGATTTTAGGGTTAGTTCAGGGGTTATTCGCAGTAAACTACTATATTTTTTTAAATTCTTTTTTTTTCTGGCAGCACAGTGCAGGAATGTCGTTGAGTACACTGCTGAAATTTAGAAATTAAACTTTTTGTCGCAGATTTGATGCAGGAAGAATTTATTAGAAACTTCGTTTGCCTTAATTTCGATTATTAAAACCAGAAGAAAAACTTTGGAGCTTTGGAAAAAAACAGCGTTCACAATCCCGACCTTAATCGTGATCATTAACGCCACATAAGAATGAGCAAAATTAGCATGATGTTTTTCTGCTGGTTACTAAATTGCTTACACCCCCGAATGAGTCCGATTCGTTCTGTAAAAGAGCGTCGGGCACATGGAAACACACAAACATATATTATTCAGTAAATAAAGTCAAATAAATTTAGTTTGGCTCGTTTTTCCTCTCTTTTTCAAATTCTCAAAATGAGATTATTGTCCTGGGAGTTGTTGTTTATATTGCTTAATGGAGAAAGGAATAAATAGTAATTATATTTATTTGCTAATCTATGGAAGGAGGTGCCTCTGGGCTGCAGAGCTGCATCCTGTATAGGTCTATCATATGTTAATGAAGTTAATGGCGGAGCTTCAGTGACAGCTGGCTGCCGAAGACCAATCAGAGCGCTCGTAGATGGAAGCCAGTGTGAGTTTGAGGTTCTGCAGGCAGGAGGTGTTTGAAGAACCATGTGAGCTCTGTTCGTGATGTAAAGACGGATCCTTTCGCTTTTATTTGATTTTTTTTTGACTCCCCGACAGTTATGAGCATGCACCCCGCAACTTGTAACCACTGGGGGCTCTTTTCTCGCTGATGATGCGTTGGAGTTACGCGTGGATTTCTTCCAGGCTGTCCGACAGAACTCATGAAACCCTCTTCAGAGCGACGGTTTGTGGACTTGCGCATTAGCTAATGATGTCTGTGGGTTTTATCCCTGACAGTCTGAATGGCTCAGATCCCTCCAAGTCGGCCTTTCTAGAATTCGGACACGGACACTCGACGCACCAGCAGCACTCCTCCGGACTCTCTCACGTTTATCCGGTTCACGGC